GAAAAGAACGCAACGCCCAGCAGCTGCAGCAGCGACACTCGCTCGGCCCGATGCGCGCGGCATCTTCCGGCTTTGGCAGTTGCTCGAGTCACAGCCCCCTCCGCGTCGGCCTCGGTGGAGCACTTTGCGCGCGTCCGCGCGCTTGTCTCGGCCGTAAATAACGTGGTGGGGCGGGGGGGGGGGGGAGTCGGGATCGACGGGCGCCGGCGCGATTTCGGCGCTCGAGACGACCGAGGCTCCGAAGCGATTGCGTCACGAGAAATTACGCGCAGCGGGCACCGATACGGCAATTACCGTCCGTGTACACTGAAATTCTAATACGATAATTTAATAACTTGACTGGCTCGGCTTGTCGTTCGTTTTGCAGGTAAGAATCCGTGCTCGAACGCCCCGACGAGATACGTAACCGGTTTCCCATGTCGCGGCCGCGGCGACGTCCGCGCTACGTGCCCGCTCTCGGCCGATGCAAGTGCGGACTCTGCTATGTGGGCGCGCTCGGCGCGCTTCCTCCCTCCGACGCGCCTTTTTGCCCCCGCTGATCGATGCCATTCAATTCGAGCGCAACAATTGGCGTGTAAAGCTGCCATCGGGCGCTGCCCCGCTGTTTTGCAACTCGCGGAAAGTTACGGGCCCCGCGCCGGTATCGCGAGGAACAATGTGCCGGCGGGCCATTAACCCACATATGCATTGTTCAATTGACGAGCTGTAAAAGGGAAGAGCGATTTGCAGGGAGCCGCCTCGACGAGCAGAGAGGATTCCTTTAATAAATCAGAGGATCGCAGCCGGAGATAGCCGCGTGGAGGCTAATTAAAGAAGGCGGCCGGGAAAAAGTAGGCTCGGCGCGCGCGCGCGAACAATCAGGGTAATGGACGGCTTCCAGGAAAAGTTATAGCCTACAGGCCGATAATCGGGCGTGCCCCGGCCGCGGCGACGCAAAAAAACTGCCCGGCACACTTGGACTCGCCAGCGCTTCTGCTGCCGCCGCAGTCCCGATATTTATCATTTATCCCCGGCTTATCGGCCCGTCCCTCCTCCTCGGCCCGACCTCCAGCCGTGCTTTTCGACGCGCGTCAGCGGCTCGCTCCGAGCCTGCCGGGACTCGTGTGTGTGTGTGTGTGCGTGCGTGCGTGCGTGCGTGTGCGCGCGCGCGCGACCGTTGCATTGGAAAGTCGCCGAGACGCGGCGAACGAAGGAGGCCCCCCTCGCACGCGCGAGTCGCGAATCAGCCGGGAAGCGGCTAATTGTTATTAGCCTCCATCCGCGCGCCATTGTTGCGGCTTGTTTCTAATGAGGCCCGAATTGCTTATCCCACAAGCCGAGAAGAAAAGCGAAGCAACCAGTTCACTAGTGCGTACGGCGCGCCGAGCCACTGCTCCTCTTCTGCGCGCTTAACCTCGTTCGGTCTGTACAAAGGTAACTCGAGTCGAGCCGCCGCAGTCATCGGCCCGTTTCGCGGAAACACAATTCTTTTTCTCTTCTTCTTCTCCTTCTTCTTCTTCTTCTTCTTCTTCTTCTTCTTCTTCTTCTTCTTCTTCTTCTTCTTTCTTCTTTTCGTCATCGTAAGCCGATACTCCGCCCGCGGATTGCATGTTTCATAACGGACGCCACGCGATGCTCGCGAGCGCAGATTCTCGACACGGCCGCCTTTGATTTACTCGAGCCGGACAATTCTTCGTCATTAAGCGGACGCACAGCAGGAAATCTGTGTAACGTGTACACGTGTCAAAGAGAGGCTGCTGCTCGTTGTTTCCGCGCGTCCCTTGTTTTTTATTCCGCGACTCGTTTCTCTCTCTCTATTTTTTGCCTCGCGCGCGAGTCCCTGGCCAATGAATACGGAATGAAATGACTACAAAATGAAGGGATTCGCTCGTCACACACAAGCGTGCGCGCACGTACAGCTCAACGCCAGTTTCGTCGCGTCTTTTCTCCTTTATGTTTTTCTTCGTCATTCGCCCGCTGCTTTGGCAAAACATACGCGGATGTAGGTTCCACCGAGTTTTGATTTTTTCATGCGCAAAAAGGGATATTTTCGGAGGTCGCCGCCTTTTGTGCGTCCGGAGTCCAACACATTAATTAGTAAATTATTTTACAACGCGCAGGTGACGGTTGTTTATAATGAAAGTTGAAAAGTGTGTTTTTAATGCATGAATTCACAAACTAGAAAGTAAACTTGCACTTTCTATACAATTAACTATTCGATGAAAAGAAAGTATTGAGCTTACATTTAACAAGCGTCACATCCAAATGTCAATTTCCGGTGGATTAATGAGTATTGATATTGATTCAGGCTTAAAGTGCATCGCTGTTTCTAAATATTACGTAGAATTCTCGACCTATCATGCGGTGGCTATTTTAAAGATCAGGAATGAAACAGGCGTACTTGTATTAGATTAACGAATTTTCACGTCGCTTTTGAAACAACTGGGCGTAAAGTTTCCAACGAAGAAAATAAAGAGTCCGTTGGTAATAGAAAGGATTTGGCCGATTGGCGCTTCTAAATCCGGATTGCCACGCGAGCGGGCAACTAGAAAAAAAAACAGGGAAATCCGACCATAAAGTGCAAGGAAACAAAGGGCGTTAAAGGGGGGTGTAGGTGCGATATATAAAGGGAGAAAATCCTCCCGCGCGCGCGCGTCGACGTAGAAGGACATTTTCACTTTGCCATGCAAATGCGCGCCTGTGTTTCCGGAATGATCGCGAACATGCCCATAAGAAGGATTTGCGCGGACAGCTATTGCGCCCGAGCCTCCATTATCTCGATTCTGGATTTATCGCGCGCGGCAGCGAGCGACAAATGCGAGCGGGCCTAATTCGAATTACGACCTGAGGGACTTTTCAGAGACTGGAAAATGAACGTGTCGCGGATCGGTCGGCTACGCGCGCTGGCTGCGATCGGCCGCGAGCAAAAGTGCTCCACAAACGGCAAGCTTTACTCGCCAGCGCACGCGCTTTAATTAACTTTATTGCCTTTGGTGGGGCTTTAACGATGTCGTCAAAGCCGGCGCGCGAAACTCGACGCCGTTCGCTGGCATGCGATGTGCCGGCGCAGAGCGCACGAGCCGTTCGCTCTGTTTGCTCTTCGAGGCGTGAGTCGATCATCGAGTTTAGCGCCGATTCAGTTTGGAATTGACTGCCGCGACAGCAGCGGCGCAGTCGGGGTCGCGAGACCGCTGCTCGCCGCCGAAAACGCGAGACTGCGAGCGCACTTGGCTCTCGCGCACCCCCTCGCATTTCACTTTGGTCGTGCGTGTGCCCCGTCATTCAAAAGCCATTCCACAAAGGCGCTAATCAATCGCAAGCACATTCGCATCGTATATGCGTGGTTTCGCAACGGCTGAGCGATATGAGTTTCAAGTTGAGGCGTATAGGCTGCTCGTTATACGTTACAAGTTGATTGGCGCGAGTAAGCGCAGAGCCGTTATCCGACGATAAAGCGCTGCGCGAACAATCGCTCTCGCGGTTGCGCAAGCTTGTTTTCAGCGGCTAAATAGCGCGGCCGTTGCGTTCGCGATCGAGTACCGATTCGACGATTTGCCGGAGATAAGCCGAAGAGCGGCATTTCGCCGGTCGGTGCGCGCGACGCGCAAAATAAAACCTGTCCCTCGCTCGCCCCCTCTCCCGCCCACCTCTTCTTTCGGGAGATAAGATAAGATTGGGGAATAAGCGAGTCGCTCGAAAACTCCGTCTCGCAGTCGCTGGCAAAAAGTCCGCCGCGCGACTTTCCAGGCGCGAGGACTGGCTACGTCGCGCCGGACCCCCCGTAGCTGCCGCTCCTCGGCGTGAAAAACGAGTAGCTCGGTGATTTATGCTCGTTCTTTGTTTCTCTCTCGCCTCCCTCTTTTTTTTTCGCTTTCCGCTCCTCCTGCTCGCGCGAAGTTTTCTGCCTGCAAGTTAGCAGCGGCAAAGGAGAAGGATTCGCGCTCTTACATTTATTATCGTCGTCGAGGATTCAAAGTGTTGCTGTGCACTCCGCGCCAGAGAAGCGAAGGGCGGACCGAGAGGAACCAAGCGCGCCTACCGGATGTTGCCCGCTCTGCTTATCGCGCGCGCGTGCGAGGGGAGAGGAGGCCTCCTCGGATCTGCCTGCCGCAGGCGATTGATGACTCGACCGACCCACTTCCGTGGCCCAGATGCGAGGGCGTCCCGCGCTATAGCGCCGCAGACACCTCACTTTCTCCGAGCAATTGTTTCGCCGCCGCGACCGCCGAGCGCTGCGCCGCGCAAGATTCATGGCGTCGATACGTTACCTTTATCGGAAGAATTACCGTGATTTATGCCCCTCCCCGCGCACATTCATTCTCTCTCTCTCTCTCTCTCTCTCTCTCCGGCGCGCCTTGCTTTTCGAAGAGCCAGTGCCACGAAAACCTGGCGTACGCGCGAATCGTTGGACGTTCACGCGGACGATTGATTTGCGTTACCCCGCCGCGCCGCGAGCCGCCGAACGACACGGAGCAAGGAGCGCGACTGGCTCGGTGGCGGAAGCGTCCTCACCGCAGCGTGTGGGGGCCCATTAAAAGGGCCGAGAGCCCAATTGAAGAGGGAAATGAGAGTTTCTCCGAAATTCGGCTAATCATTGTTTGCGCGCAGCCGCGAGCTGCAATCGAGCCATAATTGCTCTCGCTCAGGAAAAGAAAGAGCCGAGTGCCGTGCGTGTATGCTGGAAATAATGACAGCGAGTGCTCTTGGTTGCAATCAGCGTCGCTCTTTCTCTCTCGGGTGTCCCCCCGCCGAACACGTGTATCATTATCGGAGATAACAATCGAAAGCACCACATGCACCGAAAGCGGTGGCGCTGCTAGACGAAATAAACAGCGCGCGAGAGGGGTTCGTTGCTCCCCCCCTCCCCCCTTCCTCGGCCGGCAAGTCTGCTGTGCATAGCGGAAGGAAAGTCGCGTATTTGGAGTAGGATGTCGGGGCGCGCGCGAGAGAGAGCGGGAAACGAGACACAAAGAGAGGTAGTAGGGAGGCAGCAGTAGTAGCAGCGGTGGGGGCAGCCGAGCGCCGCCGCTGCCGCCGCCGCCGTCGCACACTCGCCGAGAGCATCCGAGCCGCGGCAGTGTCGCTCCGGCCGCCGTCACAGCTGGCGGCAATGTGTGCGATGGGCTAGTGCGCGCACGCTCGCCACTAGGCAAAGCCGAAGAGGCTGCGTCGCAGTCGACACAGTGCCGCGCGTGTCGTGTGTGTGATATCCGTGCGAGCGATCGGAGCCCCGGTGACAAACATGAGCCCGGCCTCGCAAGGCGCTCTCGAAGTGGAGCGCTACATCGGCAGCTGCCTCATCAGCTCCGGCTGCTGCGCGCAGCCGGACTCGGCGACCCCGCAGCAGCATCGAAGCGGCGGCGCCAAGCAATTCTGGGCCGGCGGCGCGCCTCTCGTGCAGCAGCAGCAGCAGCAGCAGCAGTCGGCGCACAACAGGGTGCCGCTCTCCAGGCTGGCCGTGCACACGCAGGGAGCCCCGCTCATACTCTCGGCCCAGCGATACCACGGCGGCCGGCCGCTCAAGCAGCCGCCGCCACCGCCGCCGCCGCTGTTCGGCGGCGTAGCCAGAGCCGCGTCGCAGCAGCAGCAGCCGGCGCAGAGGATCGCCGGCAACCGGCTGCACGCGTCCGCCGAGCTGAAGAAAGCGCTGGCGCAGCCGCTGACCAAGGCCAGCGAGGCCGGCGTCGGCGGGACGAACGTGGCCAGCATCGACTCCCTGAGCATCGCCAGCGACGAGAGCTCGGGCTCCAACAACTCGGAGAACAGCCTGCCGCGCATCATCAAGCCCCGAAAGCGCAGAAAGAAGGACCGCAAGCCGCCGCTCGTACCGACCGCTTCCCAGAAGCCCGTGGCCGGCGCCGACGGCAGAGCGCCGGCCGCCGGCGCCGGCGTCGAGGAAGGCAGCGCCGCCGGCGCGTCGCAGTACGCCGTGCCGTCGTCGGCCGGCTCGCAACCCGAGTCGGCGCGTCTCAGGTGTTACTCCTACGACGGACACCAGCGCTACGGCGGCGCCGACCACTACTATCGGCGAGCGATCGGCGCCCGGGCCCAGACCCAGGGCCCGGCGCAGCAGCAAGAGGTCGTCGACACCAGGCAGCAGCAGCAGCAGCAGCAGCAGCAGCAGCAGCAGCGCTTCGCCCACCGACACGTGCAGGTGAAAGTGCTAGACGATAACCGCAACGTGGTGCTGCCGGTGCCCGTCTGCCCGGCCGCCGTGGTCGCCGCCGCCAAGGCCAGCGGCTACCTCCGCCAGCCGGGCGGCGCGCGCTTGCCGCGCGAGCTGGGCGCCGAGCCGGCCGGCTGCCGCGCGCGGGACGTCGGCGACGAGTGCGCCGCGCTGTGCCAGTGCCGCTACTGCGAGCCGGCCGCGCTCCTCTGGGACGTGGCGGACCGCGCGAGCTTCGCGGGCCAGTACCTGGGGCAGCCGGCGCTGCTCGAGCTGGGCCAGCCGCAGCAGCGCCGCCAGCAGCAGCACCAGCAGCCGCGCTACGCGCCCCTGCCGCTGTTCCTGGCCGCGCGGCCGCTCGTCTGCCAGGAGCACGCCGGCGCCGTCGAGCTGTTCGACGTGGCGGCCGGCGCCGACGGCTCGTGCCTGCGCCTCAGGCCCGCGGGCGCCGACCGGCCGGACGGCGCGGCGCTGCTGCGCCGCAGCTGGAGCGACCCGACCAGCTACTTCAGCGACGAGCTGCTCGTGCCGAACCGCGACGTGGGCGTGATCGGGGACCGCGGCGGCGCCCGGCCGGCCGAGGCGGCCCGCCGCAAGAAGCCCTGGCGCGGCGACGCGCTGTCCGTGGGCTCGGGCTCGCCCGTCGACCAGCCGGCCTCGCCGACGAGCAGCTGCGGCAGCGGCGGCGCCGGCAGCCCCGGGCTCCAGGGCCCGCTCGAGGTGTCCACGGAGATCGTCACCTCGCCGAACGGCCACCGCGACCTCGAGATCAAGTTCTACTCGTCGTCGCCGACCGGCCTCGCCCGCCGCCACCGCTTCGCCGCCGAGGGGCCCGGCGCCGCCGTCGCCTTCGCCTTCCCGGACGACGAGGACTCCGAGGAGTTCAGCGACATCTGGAGTTACCACGAGTCCCAGCTCCAGCAGGACTTTCGCACGCTGCTGCAGGCCGGCGAGGACTGAGTGCGCGAGTGCGGCCCCCCCGCCGAGCGGACGTCGCAGCGCGCGCGCAGGTGTCGCGCGGACGAAAGCCAGTCGTCGCCTGGTCGCCGCCGGGACCAACCGTTCCTCGTTCGGCCCTCCTCTGCTTCCCGTTGCCCGTCTGGAGCGATGCGGCCAGGCGCGGTGCGAGCGAGAACCAATGGGCGCGAGCGGGACAATTAGACGCAACCAGCCTGGCCGACACGCACGCGCCCGCGCACCACACACACGCCGACACCGAGACACACAAGCTACAAGATAAACCTAGTTTCCGATTCCGCTAAGTCATGACTTCGCTCGCCGTTAATCAGAACTCAAGCAATAGACTTGGCGCTACGTATGCGCGCTCGTGTGTGCGTGTGCGTGTGTTTGCGACAAAAGAGAATGCATGCGTACGAGTGAAAATTAACGGCAACCGAGGTCGCGCAAACTATACGCAAGATACGATGCGATTACACGAGTTATGCATATTGCGATAATCCTTGAGAAGCACTGTCTCTCCTCGTTCCTTGTGTCGCATGGCTGAGAGTAAAGTCCACATGGGAGCGCGCGAATGGCGTTCGACGCGCAGTCTCGCGGATAGCTTTTCAGTATTACCAGGCGGGGCAAAAAAAGGGGAAAAATGGGAAGACATGCGCGCGGAGCGTTTCGAGAGTTCGAGTTGAAATGGTACACCGAGCGGCGGACGGAGGGAGAGAGGAAAAACGAGATCGACGCAAGAGGATCGAGGAATCGGCTCTGTTTCCCCGCTGGCGTCCGTTTCTTTTCCGCGGCGAGGGACTTTCTCTTCCGGCCTCTCGCTCCACGACTTTGTGTCGCCGTGTGTAATTAGAGAAAAGAGAGACACGTTTCGCCTTTGCCTGCTCGCGGTTTTAATGGCCGCCGCGGCCGCCGCTGCCTTTTTCCCCGCTATTGAAATGCCCGCGATTGTCACTGCGACGTTTTATCGGCGACGAAACTCGGTTTTTGCGAGCCGCCGAAGCGAGGGAGAGCAATCCCGAGATCGAAAGACAGAAGTTTCGCCTGGTCGGCGCTCCGAGGAGCTGGCGATTCGATCCGCGCCGCGGTAGCGAAACTCGCCTCGCATCGACGTGCGCGAAAAGAGAAAGGAAATCGCGTGTGCGAGTCGGCGAAGGCAATCGAGGAAAAGACGCGCGCGCGACACGCCAGCACATTGTTAATTGGCTTGACGCTGCGAAAGAGCCGGCAGCGACAAATCTGTCCATGGACAAGTCGCCTTCCGGTCTGCACGCGATCGCCCATGACGACGACCAATTTAAAGCCGCGACAGCCAACTGGATCGAGCGCCGCGCTCCGTTTCCTTTCTCGGTTCCCGCGTCGAGCCTCGAAATTCGCTATTAGCGGGTCGCGAGCGCGTCTGTCTCTCTCTTTCTCTCTCCCTCCCCCTCTGTCTGTCCGCCTGCCTGCCTCCGCTTTCTATATCGCGGCGGAGATGGCGCGAGCCTGAAAACCAGGTTAAACGCCGCCGATGCGGCCTGTCTGCCTATCAATTCCGTGCCGTGTGTATGCTGTAACTCGAGGCTAGGAGCCTGCGAAAATTGATACCTACGAATAATCCAAGATCAGCTCTCTCGCGCGCGTGATTTTCGAGGGGATTTTCGAAATTCGCATGGGAGTGATATCGGCACACTTTCCGCGGAGCTGCATTGTGAAGCCCCGTCTCCGTTCGCACTCGCTCCGGCAATTTTCGCCCTTTATTTATGCCCGCGTATACTCCTAATCGCTCTAATCGCATGATCTCTCTCGCTCGCTGACTGCCCGCGGGTGAGCATTCGAAATTGGCACTTTCACTGGCACGCCAAGAGATTCTCCGGGCGCATTGTTTGATTGGAAAACGAGCTGTGTGTCGCACCTGGCCAACAGTATTACAGTGTTTCTCGTTGACGCAGAGGTCCACTTTGTTTCTCAATCAAGCAAGGCAGCCTCTCCTACGGTTTATTTATTATTTATCGCCGATGAAAATTTGTACGTTAAGACTCGCAGGCGACATCGTCTCGTCGCGTCGCAGAGGTTCTACGCTTAAGGGACGGCCGTCGACGAGGGCGAGACGCGCGCAGCGCAATGCGACGAACAACGACGACGACGACGACGACGAGTAAAGAAAATGGAAAAGCCGCAAAGCGACGTGCTAGCGTTGGACCGCGATCGAATTGCCAGGCGTGCACTTCGATCGTGGCCCGGTCGTGTTCCGCTCGCGGCTATGCAAAATTCGCGGTTTTCCCGTTTTTTTTTCTCAACTTTTATTATTCCTTCTCTGCGCCGCGGCGATCATACTGCACACGCGAGCTTTGCTCTCAGCCGATTGTCAAAGTCGAGTTATTATAAAATTATTAAAAAAAAATAAAAAAAAAACGACAAATACGCGAAGTGAAATAAAGTGTACTGTTTGTAAATGAAAACCTCTCTTTTTACTTATTCTCTCATTACCCGATCCTCAATCATTCCTCGTAATCAATACGAAATATTTATCATTATTATCTGTCAACTATTTATTACATCCAGCGTTATCAATTGATTATCATTCGCTTGTTCTTTTTGATAATTGTTCAAGGATGCGATATCGATTTTAATTATCTGCGAGATGTATGAAGCTAAACAGTCGAACGCGATTATAGACATTGAGTGCAATCTCTATGAAAGAAAAAAACATAATAAAAGAATATAATTATCAGAAGGCGCATTGCACGACTTATATTAATGTCCACGATCAATCACTTGGATAAAATCATGGTTTGGTATTGCATCTGAATGTTGCTGCACGCAAGTCAAACAAACGCAATAAAAAGAAGAAAACCTCTCGAAGATAATGATTTGGTACGAAAGGTGATTACTTGCATCAAAGATGAAATCGCCGAAAAAGCTCGATCGTCAGTTGCGGAGAAGGTGCAGCGGCTGAAGAATTAATTGGGAAAGCAAATAGTTATTTGGCTGCATAGACTGCAGCGATGTAAACGAGCGAGCGTATCAATCACGGAAAACAATTAGCGCTTTGGCGATGATAAATTCGCCAGGCAATTAGCCGGGGCTCACCTCTGTTCCTCTCTACGGAAAGTGAATCGCGAACGACGCACTCGATTAACGGGCAATAGCCGCGCGATACTGTTGTTGCTGCTTTGTCTTTTTTTCACTCTCTCTCTCTCTCTCTCTCTCTCTCTTGCGAGCCACAGCAGCAGCGCTAATGAAAAGGAGCGAAACGTCGACAAATTGCCGCAGCCCCCCTGAGAATCGCTAATTTACGGGCTGCCACGCGGACAGGTGATCATCAGCTGTTCCGGCGATCCGTCAGGCTCGCCGCGTGCGCGCGTTTTTTTTCCATCGTGGAAAATCGGCCGACGGAGCCGGCTGCGAATCGGCTTGATCGATATCTTCGTCTTTTTCATCGGCCAGTCCGACTCACCTCTCCGCGCTCGACGTCGGCTCGCGGACCGATTATTCGCGTCGCGTTGCCGCGCGAGAAGGCTCGCGAGGCCCAAACGAACGCCGCCAGGGATACTTTCCGCGCGCGAGGGGAGAGGCCACGTATAGCTCTTTTACGCGCGAATCTCGCTCAACGCTTGCGGTACACAAACCGACTCGTACGTTACGGCAACGCGGAGAGAGAGAAAATGGAATTCCAATAACTTGTTTCTGGTATGCGAACAAGTGCCATGTTTTGCTGTTGCTTTAATCGTTGCGCGCAACAAAAGCTTACAGCGGCTATAGGAAAAGTTCGCTCGGCGATAAGTGTCGCGGCGAGCAGGGCGTAGAAGCGCGGCGCTCTAACGGAACAACGTCATTACCGGGGTGCTCTCCGACGTCAGAAAGGCGCTCGGCGGCGGCGCTCAATTATTATTATCTCTTATCTGGCGACGGCTTCGGTCCGAGAGAGAGCCGCGCGCCTAATCGACGTGACCCGGTCTCCGCGGAAGACGAGCGTGCGCGCCTCGCCGATTTTTCGGCCAGATACCGGCGGATGGGAGTGCCGGGCGGCAGCTTTTTCGTATAGAGGCTCGATCGATCGGCCGATAACCCGACAAGTTGCTCGGCCGCGGCGCCGTTGCATAACAGACGGCGAATACCCCGAGACACCGTTAATCCGCTGCGCCTGCGATTGTCTTCGCAGAGCGGCGATCGCTCGCCTGCAGGCCACGTTCGCCCGTCGAAGGCGCGCTAATTAAGAGCTCGCGCGCCAAGGCGCCGGCCGGCTCGGCCGTCACGCCTGTCACGCGCGCGCCAGCTTTCGCCGCCCGCGCCGGCCGAATAGCAACAAAAGCAAGAGCGGTCGAGGCGGCGCGAAACCGCGACTCGGCTGCGCAACTTTCAGCTCTCGCCGCGTACGCGCCGGATCCGCGCCAACGTCGCATTATTGCGAAACTGGGCCGGCTGCGGCCATTGGGACGCCCGGCGCCAATAAAAAAAGGAAAAGCTGTGCCTGCTCGCGGAAAATGCAATTAGATTCCCGCGGCCTTTATTGCCTGCCGTAATTCGCCGCTCTTTTTGTTGGTGCCGCCGGATGTCGCCGGCGCACGGACTAATTAAAGTGAAACTCGCGGGTCGGACTCGCGCGCGCGCGCGGTGCATATCGACACTCCGGGCCGGGCGATGCCAGCGGGCGCGCGAGCCGTGAAAGAATAGGCGAGAAGACGGCCTTCGCCGGCGTCGACGCGGCGTATCTATCTCCTTGAGAGCACGAGGCGCCGAGCGGAATCGGCGGCGTTCGCGCCTGTATCGTTTTCCCCAATCTCCGGCGATTGGCTGGAAAGGTGCGCGCGCGCGAGGCGTGTCGACTTTTTCGTGCGCGAAAGCGGAAACCACTCCTATTTTCCTACGCCAAATCGCCATCCATAATCCCTCGGGAGGCCGCGCGCGCAGCGCTTTACCAGGCTGGAATTAACGCTTCGCGGAGGGCTGATTAATGTGCGCGCGGCAATCGATCGACTCGCTTTTCAAAGCTTCTTTCTCCCTCTCGCCGCCGCCGCCGCCGCCGCCGCCTCCGCCGCCTCCGACGCCGCGCATTTTCAAAGGCTTCTCTGCACGCAGCAACGGACTCGCAGATTATTGATACGCTCGCTGGACTTTTCTCGCGCTGGTCTGCGCTGCCTTGGAAATTAGCTGGCTTTCCCGTTCAACGCGAATTCCAACTGGCGCGTCGCGCGATCTCTCCCAGCAGCGACGAGCACGCAGCGCGCGGCACAGCATCGCGGCGGAAGACGGGAGGCGAAATCGGCCAGACTGCCGCCGGTGGCGCGGATCTGGCCTCCGGGCGAAATTAATAAAGCGTGTCGTTGCGGTGGAATTGGCGCGCGCGGCCATCAGCGTAAATCGTCGGCGAGCTGCACATTCAATTAAAACCGCGGCGAGCCGGCGCGCGGACTCGGACTTGCAAATACAAACGACGACCGGTTGGGCGCGCTCGCTCGCGTTGTCTCCTCGCGGCCGCCTATGAATTTCAGGCCGCGCCAAGGTCAGGAGCGCCGCGAGAGAGGCGCGCGGCGCGCTAATTAAAGCGCGCGGTGATCAGACGCGGAGCGCCTGCGCGCGCGCGCGGAATTCGCGGAGTATCCGGTCGTAAACAGAGCGCGCGCGGCGGCCCTTCCGCCGATAAATCCCATCAACGGGAAGGCACAGAGGACGCGCGCGGAAAACTAATTAGCGCGCGCCGCGCGCGCGCGCGACACACCTACATTCGACAGTCCGCGCTCGCGCGCTAATCGCCGGATACCACGGCAATCCAGTTTGCACGGCGCGTCGCATAATTAAGCGAGAGTACGCGCCTTCACTTGGCCGCGCAGCACTTTCCCTGTTTAAAAGCTGCTACACGACGCGCTCGCGCCACCACACTTTTCCCCGCCGCCGCACCTTGCGATTCGCTCTCGCTTTCCGTCGCTCGCTCTCTCTCTCTCTCTCGTAGCCAGTGTCTTTAGATTGGCGCGACGCTTATCGGCGCGCGCGCACACACACACACCTCTGCTCTTTTCTCGTTTCACCGGCTATGCAAATACACAGACGATCGCGGTGCTGCTAACTGGCGGCGTTGCAAAGCGTCTCGCGAGAGCGCAGACGTAAGGGCTGCGGAGCAACCTCCGTAGGAAGGAGGTCTCCGGCGGCGACCAGTGCAGAGCAAGGGCTAGTTAAACAATAAACCAGAAAGAGCGTGAAATGAGGCTCTGAGCTAAACCAGCGGCCCGTTTTTGCGCCCGGTCGGCTACCTCTTCCTTCCTTTTGACGCCGAGTGCAGCTGTCAAGTGCCGCCCGTCGTCGCCGCTTGGCTAGCCCTTCCCCCTCCACTGGCCTCCTATCGATCGGTGCGAGGCCCCGTGTGTGACTCGATTTTTTAACGATGCGCCCATGTTCTCCTCGGCTTCGTCGCTCGCTCCTGATGCAGGCCTCTGCTCGCCACTCTACTGCACTCTACTTGTTCGCGAACTCTTGGCGCCGCCCTTCGGTTGGCAAACTGCGGTGCGACGACGCCGTCGCCTCGCGCAAACTGTCGATCGTGTAGTGCGCACGAGCGTCGGGTCGCACTTGCCCTCTGCGCTGCCGTCGCGGGACCGTTGCAATCGGTCCGCTCCCGCCGAAAACGGCGAGTTCGCTGGTGGAATCGCTCGAGACAACGGGGAAAGACGCGCTGCCATACGCGTGCAACAATAATCGACGCAGCTTACCCGCCGAACGTTCCCGCCGCTTATTAATTTTCGCGCGCCAGCATTTATCGACCCTCCCATGAATTTTCATCGAACGCGATGCCCTCTCGCAAGCACGCGATACACAGCCCGTCGATGCAATTTACTCCGCGTGATGAGGCCGCGCTGCGTATATATTTTTCCGCTCGGGCATTTCGAATTCATACCGCGCTTCGAGAATTTCATTGCGAAGAAGGACGAATGTGCTTTGGAAAGGAATTAAGCAAGCGATACAGCTTTGTTAAGTACAGTGGAGAGAGAGCGAGAGGGAGGGGGGACAAGCTTACCGAGTAACTTTGGGAGACGCCTTATAAATTTAATTCGGATAGAGAAGCCTTATTAGCCGGACGACTAAACGTCATTTGGCATTCCAGTGAAAATCTTTGAGCTGATTTGTCGCGAGGACAATTGATTGCAATAGGCGTGCCAATGGTTGACGCGTGAACTTCATACTTGACCTACTTTCCGTGAGAAACTCGAATGGTGCTGATTTGGAAACGGCGTTGCGCGAAGTAAGGTCGGTGCTTAATTTCGTTGGTCAATGCAATCGAACGTAAAAAGAGATTAATAATGTCCGAAAAAGGAGCAGAATAAAGATATATTATCGATCGGCGGTTCGCTCGCGCGGAGTTCAATATCCCAACGAGAAAGCGTAGCGTGAAGCGTCGGGTCACGGATTTTCTATCTCCATCTGGAAAGTTTTGCACGGAGAAAGAGCATG